TTGTGGGGGGGGGGGGGGCCCCCCCCACTTCCCCCTATCTTCATTCCCCCCCCCCGCCGCCGCACAGTGTTTCACATCCAGTTTTAACAAAAAGGAATAGCTTTGTGTTGCCGGGGAGGGGAGGGGGGAGACCTATAACTTGCTGCCCCTCGGATCTCTCTTTGGGAAAAATTGGGGAGGGGTGGTGTAGTTCGAAGGTGAGCAGGATTTCATGGGGGGGTGGAATTGCAGGTATCTTTTTTAAAGAAGGGAAAAAACCCAACTCGATCCAATTGATTGGGGCCGAGGCATAAGCAATTTCGGAGAATTCCTCTGTCTGTCATATCATCTGGCGTCTCCCTTCGTTCCCCGCAGTCAATTTCACCTGTGGGCAATTGAAATTGCAGTCTCTTTTCCTCGCACAGCCAAGAGAGGCTGCCTTTTAAATAAGGGGGGTTTTTTGGGCGGGGGGGAGGCGCTGGAAGCCTCCTCTCGGAAGACATCGGCAGACCTGAATGCCCCCCCCCCACCTCCTCACCGCACATTTCTTCATCTGATGTGCCTGGTGATCTTATTCGTTGCTGTTCATTGGTGCAGGAAAAGCACTCGGCCCATGCTCGGGGGGCACAGTCAGCATGTTGCTTTGGTGGTGAAAATATATGCCGGGTCTGACCTCAGACAGTCGGAAGCCGAGCCCTGTCCTAGGGGAGACCCCTGGAAATACCAGCAGATACCTCTGGGATGCATAATCCGGGTCTTTGTGGGGCTTTTAAATTGGAGAAAATAGGACTTGGCGGGGGGGGGGGAACACGCACACATGCTCACATCTGATAGAGGCTTATGAAATTATGTGGAGAGAGGAGAATTCTCCCCCCTCCGCTCTTTAAAGTTGAGGGCAGGACTCACAAAAGGGAATGCTTATTCATGCTGTGCAGAATTAACTTGTGGGACTCCCTGCCGCAGGGTGTCATGCCGGCTGCTTGCATAGAGGGTTTTAAGAGGGCTAGAACCAAATCTGTGAGGGATGGGACCATCCGTCGCCGTGTTCGGAGGTCCTGCCAGATGCTGAGAGGAAGGAATAGGAGGCAGCTTTGACCTGTCTTCGGCCTGATCCTGGGGGGCTCTTCCAATGTCCTTTCTGGAGCATATGATAATCTAAGCTTGGTACGGTGGTTAGCTTTGCCGAGGAGTACGTTGATGATAAAAATATTGATTATTATTGTCAGGATGATTGAATGTTTCAGGTGCTCTTCAGAGAGCCAGTTTGGTGTAGTGGTTAAGTGCGCAGCCTCTAATCTGGGAGGACTGGGGTTGATTCCCCACTCCTCCACATGCAGCTGCTGGGTGACCTTGGGTCCGTCACAGTTCTTTCAGAGCTGTTCTCTCATGTGCAGTTCTCAAGAGAGCTCTCTCAGCCCCACCTACCTCCCAGGGTGTCTGTTGTGGGGAGGGGAAGGGGAAGGAGATTGTAAGCTGCTCTGAGACTCCAAGTGAAGGGCGGGGTATGAATCCAATCTCTTCTCTCTTCTTCTCTCTCAGTCATCCACTCAGTCGCAAGTAAGAAAAGGTTAACTGGTTAACGAGAAGTGTGGAGAACCAGTGGGGTGTAGTAGTTAAGACTGTTGGCTAGGATCAGGGAGACTCGGGTTCAAATCCGTGTTCTGCCAGGGATTCTTGCTGGGTGACCTTGGGTCTGTCTCGCACTCTGTGCCCCACCTACTTCACAGGGTTATTGTGGGGATGAAACGGAGGAGAAGAGAAGGACGTGAGCCACTTTGCGTCCCCACTGGGATTACACCCGTATTGCAGAGACGAGAGAATGGAAGTTTCTCTTCATGCCGCTCCTCATGAGTTCTTGGAAGAGGTGGGATTTGAACTAGGGACGTCCTGATTCATAGCTTGGTCTCGTAGCTACGTCATCCCCCCCAGTGTCAGTGTGCCAAGAGGTGCTTCTGAGCATGTGCAGAGTGCCTTGCCTCTCCAGTAAGATGGTAGCTTTCCTGTTGTTTCTCTGATATCAGAAAACAGAACTGGAAAGAATTACATCCCGGTAGAATTAAGGCCACCTTGCCCTGTATCGCCTGATCTTGTGTGATCTCGGAAGCTAAGCAGGGTCGGCCCTAGTGAGTACTTAGGTCACGCAGGGCTCTTTTTGTAGAAAAAGCCCAGCAGGAACTCATTAGCATAATAGGCCACACCCAACAGCAGACACTCATTAGCATATTAGGCCACACCCCTGACAGCACCACTCATTACAATATTAGGCCGCACCCCCATGTTACCAGAAGTGTGGCCATCCAGCCACACCCACCTTTTGCTTCTTATTCTGTTGACCTTGTTTGTGGTCAAAACCCAGGGCCTTTTTTTGTAGCAGGAACTCCTTTGCATGTTAGGCCACACACCCCTAATGTAGCCAATCCTAATGAGTTTCTGCTGTTGGGTGTGGCCTATTATACTAATGAGTTCCTGCTGGGCGTGGCCAACTCAGGAGCCAGCCGGAACTCCGTTCCTGTGCGTTTCTGCCCCAAAATAGCCCTGCTTAGGTGGGAGACCGCTAAC